TTTCAAATGCAAACCAACCGTAGTTCACATCAGGCTTAAATTGCATTTGGGCTCAGCACTTAAAAAGCTTATTTTACACTTTACAATGTCAGGGCGTTTAAAGACACAGCATGCTACCTTGCACAAGTTTACTAAACTCTACAACATTTTCAGCATACTTGTGCTCATTTCAATCTTCTTACACACACACACACACTGCTAAAGGCCTTAGCTGTGACCTCAGCTCTCAAGATCACAGACCTCACCCAACACTAGTATTCTGGGTCATCGGGTCCCCGTCATAACAAGCTTAGAGAGCATTTTTGTGTTCAGCAAAAGCAGACAGCTACACAGAATATTTGGGTCTATATAACAGGGGTCAATGCTGTGGAAAAGAAGGGTCTGTGCTCCACCCAACCCCTGCCTTCCACACTCAAACACAGACACAGACAAGTGTCTAACCCTGCTTAAGCACAAACCCTCATCACCATAATAAAACAGGGATCTCATGGGAGAGGGAGGGGTGGCTCACAGAGGAATTGCTTCCCAAAACCCAACTGCAACAGTGCCTAAAGCTACACAACTGAAATACACAGTAGGAGATTCAAGAAGTTTCTAGACACATTAACAAGCACACCATAAGGACAAAAATAAATCAAATAATCAAATCCATTATATCTAGTGCATTTATTACATGAATTCTTCCCTTTCAGTTGTTTTCCCACTTAAATATAATGTACTACTATACCTACCGATTCTACACCTACACAATTACATATATACAGAACATAAACTGGAAATATAGTACACTGTATTATTTATTATATCAAGACATGTAAATAATTGGTTTGACCAACATACACTTTTGTTTGGAAAAATTATTATTATTATTATTATACATTTCAATAATTTAAAGGTCAGACATTACAGAGATACTTAAATAAGATAGCAAGAAGCTAAATTATTCTTATTGATCACCATTTTATTCTATTTAGTTATTGTTTCATTGGGGTAAAATAATTTATAAATAAATTTTTTTGCAAATAATTATTGAAATGTATTTATCTCTCTCACTCACTATATATATATATATATATATATATATATTACACATTTTGATAATAACAGACAATAGATAGATAGATAGATAGATAGATAGATAGATAGATAGATAGATAGATAGATAGATAGATAGATAGATAGATAGGTAATGCATAATACAATGAAACAATCCATTCTATTAGTGTTATTGACATACTATTAGATATTAAAATAGATGGCATACTAATTTTAGATATTATTAGAATATTTTGAATCAGTTTATGTTTATAGCTTTTATAAATATTTTTAATGTTTTTATATTTTCAGCTTTAGTTTTCATTTTTAGGTAAAATGTAAGTACATTTTTCTGTTTTTTTATTTTTAAGTATAAAATATATTGGAAATATTGAAATAATAATATGGTATTGCATTAAAAAACATTTTCATTTTACTAAATACAGTGGTGTCCCCCAAATAGTGCATAATATGTGTGTGTGTGTATATATATATATATATATATGTATATTGTTATATTATGAGTAATTGATACTATAGCATGTTTACTGTTCCATTTAAAGTCAAATTCCCCTTTCCACCAAGTTAAACATGAATGCTAATTCTGAGCCTGTGGTGCAACACCACACCTTAGGACGCACATATGTGACCTTATCAAGAAGAAAGCAAATCCATTCTAATATCTGAGAGCATCTTCATGCAACACCACCGTTTTTTTTATATATATATATATATATATATATATATATATATATATATATATATATATAGTCAATACAGTTTTTATTCATGTTTTAATTTTGAATTGTTGCCTATAATAATATATTTTATTTTTATTATTAAATTTTGTATGGGTTTAGTTTTAGTTAACTATAATAATCCTGCTGTGTATATATTGTATAAAATATATTGGAAATATTGAAATAATAATATGGTATTGCATTAAAAAATATTTTCATTTTACTAAATACAGTGGTGTCCCCCAAATAGTGCATAATATGTGTGTGTGTGTATATATATATATATATGTATATTGTTATATTATGAGTAATTGATACTATAGCATGTTTACTGTTCCATTTAAAGTCAAATTCCCCTTTCCACCAAGTTAAACATGAATGCTAATTCTGAGCCTGTGGTGCAACACCACACCTTAGGACGCACATATGTGACCTTATCAAGAAGAAAGCAAATCCATTCTAATATCTGAGAGCATCTTCATGCAACACCACCGTTGCAGGGTGTGTTTGGGCACAAGGTGACGAGGCAGCATCTAAAGGAGAGAGAAGCATGACCAAGCAATGACACAGGCGTGCCCGCCGGACCACATGCACCGTTAAACCCAGCAACCCCCCCCCCCCCCCCCCCCCCGCCCCCAAAAACCGATACTGTCGCCCGGCGCGCGGGGCTCTCTCACATCAGCCATCGATCGCGCGAGCGGTAACTCGAGACGCCGCAGTTTGTTTCCAAGCAGCTCCGCAGCCGCGAGATCAGGTGCGCACTGGCCAGCCAAAGGGATGCACAAACTGCGCTTGAACGGAGCGGTCGCCCTTTGGCTTCGCCTGGATGTCTCTCAGTCTGTTTGTGCGCACACCACATTAGTGACCTGGCTGGCTCATTCCTATACCCCGCCACCCCCCCCCCCCCCATTCTGCAGCACCATAAAGATGTAAATGCATCAGTGAAGCCATTCACCTAGAAACATGCTTAACACAAGCAAACATTCAGGGCTATTAAACTGAAAACACTGGCCCACGTTTCAGTGCAAGGAGGGTGGAGAATAATCACGGACACGCTCACATTCCCGACCTTACAGTCAGAAATACCAATAGTGCTAAAAGAAAACAACCCCCTTCCAGGCTTCGCTGTATGTTTGGCCCCCCTTGTGGATACTATTTGTGCATGCGTCAGGTCCTTCCTATGCAGGCCACTTCAACAATGCTGTCTCTCTCCACTATTTGCCTTCAGATGGAGTAAAACCTCTTTCTAGCATCATATCTTATCCATGTTCAAATGTCCCCTGCTTTTAACAAAATAAATAAGAAAGCATCAGCCCAGAGCAGCAGAAGACAGAAGCCGGGTACTCACCATAACACTATCTACTCCATTTTTCCATCCAGTGCGGTGTGTGAGGGAGGTGCCTGCTATCCGATCCACTGCAGGGCTGCCTGCCTCGAGCAGTCCTCGCTGGACGGATGCTGATGATGTAGCGCCTTTCAGGAGAGCAGCCCAGTTACCTTGGAAACTGAGGAGTGATGGAGTGGCCGTGCTGCGCTGCCATTGGCTGGAGAGGGGTGGTGCTCGCTGTGGGGCCCCCGGTGGGTGTGGCTACAGATGAGAGAGGAAGCAGAACTGTGAACGCAAATGCACTACATCAGAGAGAGGGGCGTCCTTTTGCAGGAACATACACAGATTTTGTATATTGTAACCAAGTCATTTAATATATAGAATTGTTTTCTTGAAAATATTAAAATCTCACTTATTTCCTCTGGTCTCTCTCAAAACAGACTTTTTTTCTCTCTCTCTCTTTACAAAAACTACTGTGTAGAACCATGGTAGAGGGTATAATAATACTCAATATTTGAACAGTTAAAGGCACATGGAACAGCACTTTACTCAATAAATAGGAAAATAATATTTAATATTGCTATTAATATTATTTGTTGTTTTATATTATTGTTTTATAGCCTATCAAAATATCACCAAATTTATGCATAACATGGGACATTTCAACACTAAATAAAATAACCAAAACAATACAGTAACAAGAATATTTTGCATTTTTTATTATTTATTGCCATTAACCTTTGTATTATTATTATTAGTCACCTTGTTTTCGCAGCATTAGACACCAAATCTTACGTGAGTAGTCGATAAACCAGTGAGAAAGTCTTGTAGTCTGTAAAGTATCGTTCACGCTTGCGGCAGTGAGGTTTGTCAAATGCCCTTGGTTTCGAGAACGTGAGGTGTCATGATGTGACTGATGTTATTTGAGAGAGGAAGACTATCAGTAAATAACGACATATACGTTTAAAATGTAAATCACTTTGATCAAAATTTTAAGAATATGTTTAACATTTACTAGTCGTAAATAATGTGACAATGCAAATATCATATATAATAATATAACTTTACTGTACATTCATGTGTAAATTAACATGTATACATAATATATAATAAAGTGTAATAAGAATAAAAATATAATACATGCATTTTTTTACTTTTGATTCTGAGATGGAATTTTTATTTTAGAGTCAAATGTTCAGAATACAAAATTCTTCACAGAAAAATGTAAGTGTCTCATCAAACTAAAGTGTCTCATCATGTTGCATTTGTTTATGAAACCACTGGATGGCGACAAAGATGCGCTAAACATATTAATTCATCTGCTCTGCTTAATCGATCGATACAAGACATAATCGATCAGCTGACAAAAGGATGTAGTTTCACTGATCATGACTAACCTAACCCTAAATAATAAGGGACTGAAGTGTTTACTAAAGAACTGTTATGGACAAAAATAGACTAAATATTCACTAAAGAAATGTTAAGGACAAAAATAATCAGAAGACATTAAAAATGTACGAATAAATTAAACTTGTTTTATTTATTTATTTTAAAACTAATGCAGTCTTCACTTCAAAAAACGAACACATTGATTAAAGATATAAAAAATAAAAGAGTCTACTAAAGAAATTAGTAAAGGAAAGTAACTGTTCAGCTAAAACCACCCACTGGGCTTTTCATTTATTGTTTTGAAATAAAAGAGCTACACGCAGAACAATCTAACGGCCCTGGAGCTATAGTGTCAACTCTATTATTTTTGTTTTCATTGAAAAACTGCCCTTATGTCACTGCAGATGATGCTGCGGTAGATCTTTCTGAAAAGATGACATCATCCCCCTGGCCTTGGCAGTGGAGCCGAACACACGAAACACACTCCATTTTGGCTCCACTCCAGAGTGAAACCTAATATTCCATCCCTGATATTCTTAGAGCCAACATGGCGGACCGAGACCTACGGTTTCCTGATTGTTATTGCTTGTGAAGGAAGTATGCCGTGAAGCCCTTTAACGAAAGAAATGCGCCCTCATTGGTTTCCACGGTGTTTACGGAGCGAGAGCCAATCATATGTGCCCGCTGATCCAGGTGATATCCCTCCTACCAGTATCTCCGGAGTAGGTTTATTTTGGTTTACCCCCTGCTCCAGTGCCGCCGCCATTAGAGCCAGTCACATCGGCAACAGAAATGGGAATTCCGGTGTTTGAAACCCTCTAAAACCGATTTGATCCGGGGTTGCTTGGGGTTTCAGAGGAAGGGGGAGAAATAACATGGGAGTTCGGCCGCAGAATCGCTCTGCTGTCGCGGTGGATTGTCGGTGCTGAGCTGGATTTGGACCCGGATCGGATCGGATTGGGTTTCGGTAGGACAGACGTTCGGTTTGCAGAAGGGCGAACTCGGGAGCGGTAGTGTTTGCAAACTGTGGAGGGCAAAAACAGGTAAGAGCCTTGAGATTTCTGGGGGCTGGGGGGGGAATCACTGTAACAGTATATGCAACAGGGCAAATCAATGCACCTTATTTGAGTTTCCTAAAATGCTCGCGTATACATTTTTTTTAGAAAATATTTATGTATTTATTTTATATTTATTTGTATTTTAAAGATGTGAAAATGTCAATGGGCAGTCCACGGTCTTGAGCTGAAGTAGCTGTATGTGTTTATTTACAGTGCAGATACAACCCGGAGCTCTTTTATGGTGTTGTTGTAGTTCGGCTAAAATCGACACCTTGGTGTGGAATTCCGAAGCGAGCCGAGAGTGTTTACAGTGTATCAGCGCAGAGTTTGTGCTGGATACATTTGAACTTTCTACACTGTAGCGGCGGAAATGCTTCTCACATTCCATTTCCAGCGCCCGTTATAGAAAAACTCCCTCCTCTCACCGTTAAAGCCAGGGTTCCAGTCGTGTAATAAGAGGTATGTGTCAAAACCTACCGAGATAACGTTAACTAAACGGCATTTTTGCGTTGTCAGAGGCGCGTCCAGCAGTTTGACAGCTCTCTGTCTAATCTGACAGATTATGACCCTTCAAAACATTGAACCTACTTTACTTTCATAAGGCAAAACCTATATTGCCGAACATTTTTGAAAGTTTCATTTGTGTGAAATATAAAAAGTATAGCAGTTATTTATTTGTCTTCCGAAACTGGCTTGCTTGATTGTTTTATTCCATATATATATAAAACACACACACACTGCAGTTCAAAAGTTTGGGATCAGTAAGATTTTTAATGTGTTTTAAAGAAGTCTCTTCTGTTCATCATGACTGCATTTATTTGAATCATTCAGTACCACACTATTACTGTCTTCATAATATCACTTTACAAAGTTACCACTATAGTCAGGGAAATCTAGGAATCATCTATTTTTTTAAAGGGGTCATATGATTGACACGTTTCAGAAAGGCGGGGCATAGAGGAGCAACAATAATGTACAGTATGTGGAAAATAATGTGTTTTTTTTTTACTTTAAACTGCATAAACACATTTCATTACACCAAATACAAAAAATAATGTTCTTTTTAGCAGCATCATATGACCCCTTTAAACAAATGTTAATAACCAAAATCTAGTCCAATAACCAAATGAGAGTGTAAATGAATGTAGGTCAAAGGATGTGACCGTTTGCCCCAGTGAGCTGGATTCATCTCTGTTGTTGCCCACCTGTCAGGAATAATCCAGAGTCCTGAACAACTTCTGGCTTAAAAAGCCTTTCAGAATTAATGTATTGTGCTTTTTTATTACAGAAGCAAGTGGAAAGCTTAAGGTCATTCACACATTATGATTTATGCTGATTTAAATGTTATGTTTATTTTTGTCAACCCTAAGCTTTTTGTCATAATTTTAATTAAGCTCATTTATAATAGTCAGAGTCAACCAAAAAAAAGGAAACTAATACAGTGGTATCAGATGGTAATGCAATGATATTTTTATATATACCATGGTACTTAATAGATCACCATATTCATATACTATATTTATGTGTTAATTCAGAAAAATTATTGTATTAAATTGTAAGCAACTGTATTACAGTGGGGTCCTAAAATGTAGGGCAACACTGAAAATCTGGAATTTGGGATTTCAACAATTATGCCAATGAAAATGGTCAATGTAAAAATATCCTGCAGTATTTCTAGGTCACTAATCAAATGTAAGCAAATTTGTGACATCGACCATGTAACTCCTTTTTACAAAAGGTCCATTGAAACACAAGATGCCTTTGGAACAGTCTCAAACCTTGCTGCATTACATGAATCATCAGGTTTTTCCTCAATTTGTGGATTAAATCAAATTTTAGCAACTGGGGACGAGCCAAATAGAGTTCTAAAATCCAATCAATGTTTTAAGTTAAAGTTTGGGGTCTGTATGATTAAAGTAAAAAGAGTAGTATTGTGAAATATTATTAGAATTTAAAAATGACTGTTTTCTATGTGAATATAAATGCAATTTATTTCTGTGATTTAAAGCTGAATTTTCAGCATCATTACTCCAGTCTTCAGTGTCACATGATCCTTCAGAAATCATTCTAATATGCTGATTTGCTGCTCAAGAAACATTTCTTATCATCATTGTTGAAAACGGTTGTGTTGCTTAATATTTTTCTGGAAACCCTGATACAGTTTTATTAGTACTGATTAGAAAGAAAAACACAATTTATTGAAAATATATATTTTTGGAACAATACATGTCTTTACTGTCACTTTTGATCAATTTAATATGTCACTCCTGAATAAAAGTATTAATTTCTTTAAATATATATATACACACATACACACACACACACACTTTTTTTAGATGGGCATTATATTGATCATATGCTGATCTGTTTTTGTGAAAATAGAATTATTTTTTTAACAATGTAAAAGTATTCACTGTCACTTTTGATCAGTTTAATGCATCCTTGCTGGATAACATTTTGAATTTCTTTAAAAAAAAAAAAAAAACATACTGATTCCAAAATTCTTTTTTTTTTAAAACGTATTACATTTATTTTTATATATTTGTAATGAAAAATGGTAATAGTTTAGAGTAATTTCACTCTGAGACTTGGATCCCTCTGAGACTTGGATCCCACTGTATATCAACATCATTTCTATTGTCAAACTAAACTTTGCCTGTCTGTGACTATTGCAGGAGAAACTGGAGGTGCTGTGAGCGTGAGCGAGTGAAAGCAGGTGAAGAACGGAGGACCGGCGGGAGGGAGGGAGGGGGGGCCATCAGCTGCGGTGACCGGCGTGAGCGAGGATGACAGATTTTGGCTTGAAGTGGAGCTGCGAGTACTGCACCTACGAGAACTGGCCGTCCGCCATCAAATGCACCATGTGTCGGGCCCAAAGGCACAACGCGCCCATCATCACCGAGGAACCCTTCAAGAGCAGCTCCAGCCTGGACCCACAACTGTGCACCACCCAGCTCATCTGCCCCGACTCTAGCGCCCGGCCTCGGGTCCGGATCGCCGACGAGCTGCCAGAGACCAGCAGCAAATGGTCCTGCCACATGTGCACCTATCTGAACTGGCCCCGCGCAATCCGCTGCACGCAGTGCCTCAGTCAGAGGCAGCAGGGCTCCCAACACGGCCCGCTCAGTCCGTCTGAAGCCCCACAGACATCGGACTCGGGGTCCAGACCATCCCCGGTCACCTCGGACCCATGCGAGGAGTATAACGACCGGAATCGGCTCAACATGCATGCGCAGCGATGGCCATGCTCGGCTTGCACCTATGAGAACTGGCCAAAGAGTTTGAGGTGCGTGGTTTGCGACCACCCTAAACCCAGCAGTTCGCCCGAGGCGCCTCAGCAGGATTCGGAGGCAGAGAGTGCCATGTCCCTGTCGATAGTGAACGAGCAGGAACGGGATAACCTAAGGACAGCGGGGGGAGGGGGGGTGAGCAGGGGCAGGCAGAGGAAACTCTCTCCACCTACGTGTAAAGGGCAGGCGGAGGTGAAGATCGAGCTTGCGTCGGGAGCGGTGGGCAGCGATAACGAGCAGGAGGCGGACTTTAAAAAACTCAAACAGATCCGGAACAGGATGCGGAGAAGCGACTGGCTCTTCCTGAACGCCTGCGCTGGTGAGAAATGAACCCCATTAGTGTCAGATACAGTTTCCCCAAAACGTATTTGGACACTTAAAATGCATTTTGAAAATGGCATTGCATTAGATTGAGTGTCTGTATCTGCACTCAGATGCTGCAGGAGCTTTTCTCATCACTAACTTCACATCAGTTTTGCTTAATATCTTTTAGTCAGGTGGTGTTCTGGTGACTTTTAGTTGATGTATGAAGTCGGTAGCAGAGTGTAGTTCATCACATTAACTAAGAACATGCTCAGATACTTTTAAATTGTTTATATATCATGTTAAACCTAACAAACATCTTTATATGAAATGTTTTGCTTCATACACTACCGTTCAAAAGTTTGGGGTTGGTAAGATGTTTTTAGAAGTCTCTTTTGCTCACCAAGGCTGCATTTGTTTGATCAGAAATATAGTAAAAACAGTAATATTGTGAAATATTATTACAGTTTTATATAACTGTTTTCTGTTGTAATATATTTTTAAATGTAATTTATTCTTGTGATGTAAAGCTGAATTTTCAGCATCATTACTCCAGTCTTCAGTGTCACATGGTCCTTCAGAAATCATTCTAATATGCTGATTTGGTGATTTCTTCTTATTATTTTCAGTGTTAAAAATGTTGTGCTGCTTAATATTTTTGTGGAAAACATGATACTTTTTATTCAGGATTCTTTGATGAATAGAAAGTTCAAAAGAACAGCATTTATTTTAAATAATTTGTAACATAATTTTTTATTTTATTATTAACTTTGGAACGGTAGTGCACATATACTTAAATTTAGACATAAATAAATATCACACATTTCTTAAATATCCAGTGCATTGACATTATGGTAACACTTTACGACAAGATCTGATTTTTTAACAGCATCAGCTAACATGAAACTAACAATGCGTCATTACAGCATTTAATAGTCTTTGATTGTCTATGTTAATGCATTAATGTTAACAGATAAACATTTTTGAAAGTAGTGAAATTAGCATTAACAAAGATGAATTGATGCTCTAGAAGTATTGTTAGTTCATGTTTGTTAACCTTATTGTAAAGTGTTACAGAAATTATGAAGTGTTACTTGTGTACAAATCATTTTTTGACTTCTGTACAATATCTACTCTCTTTGGCTTACTATTTGATTGGCATGTTTTACTGTGATGTGAAGGTGAAATTCAAAGCTGAATCTTTTGATATCAGCTGGTATAAAACCTTTATTTTCATCACTAAGCCGGTGGGAGACGGGTTGCATGCACATAGTTTGATGCAAAGTGACAGATTTTGTCTCATGGGCTCTGCTGCTAGGGAACACTTCTGTTAGCACTCTGCTTTCCTGCATCAGAGTATGAAATCATTGATCTCTAAAGTAGTGTCACTGTCTTCTGGGAAATACCTATGGCTCATATAGGTCTGATAGGAATTTAATCTGAAATTTCTGCAACTTCAAAGAGTTGTGAGCGAGGAAGTCAACCCACTCATATGTAACGCACACTTTCATCAGGTGTTGTGGAGGGGGATCTGGCTGCTGTGGAGGCGTACAAGTCATCCGGTGGTGATATCGCACGTCAGCTGACCGCAGACGAGGTGCGAATTCTCAACCGTCCATCCGCGTTTGACGCTGGTTTTACTTTGGTGCATCTGGCCATCCGCTTCCAAAGACAGGACATGCTTGCGGTGCTGCTCACGGAGGTCAAACTTTTACATGCAAAAACGGAGAGAATTCGTCTCACAATGTGATATTGTAAATTGATTCTATATTTATGAATGTACTTCAGGTGTCTCAGCAGACAGCGAAGTGTATACCGGCTCTGGTGTGTCCTGAGTTAACAGAACAGATCCGCAGAGAGGTGGCAGCAGCACTTCATAGGCGTAAAGGAGAGTTTCCCTGTTACTTCTTCACTGACCTCATCACCTTCACATTACCAGCAGGTGATCAGTCATAATTTCTAAAGACAAAAAATTCCCTTCTGCCGCAGGATCTTATGTGTGGCCACGAGCCACAAAGACCTATTCCGAGTGGGCTGATTGTCTGAGGTATTTTAACCAGGGTTAATATAGTTAACTAAAACAATCTTATCTTATCTTTCAAATAAGATCAAATAAAATGATGATTTTTAACTTTTACCTTAATATATATAATCAAGGTTTCCTGCTAACAAAAACATTGCCATTTAGTTCAGAATCATTTAGGGATATAATAGATAAATAAAAGTATAATGAAATATGAGCATTAATACATAAAAGTTATGAAATACATTCATTTTTATAATCTAGAATGTAATGGGAGTATCACATGAAATATGTCTTAATGTAAAACATCATCTTGAAGACATGAGAATTTTTTTTTTTTTTTTTTTTTTCAGTTAAAGTTTATTTTATTTCAAGTAATACACTTTTTTATGGTTTTATTTAACTATAATAACCCTCATGAAAGTAAGTACAAATTAAAAAAAATAGGGCGTGAAATGTATTTCTGTAAAAAGTGACCTGAAATACGACATGATCTATGCCTTGAAATGAAAACTGTGTAAATGTGGAAGAGAAATCCATAATATGTCCCATATAACAGACAGTAGGGTTTTCTCTGCAGAGATTTTCATTTTTGTTTTTCTTTTGCAGATATTGAAGACCTTCCCCCAAATGTTCAAGAAAAACTGTTCGATGAGGTCCTGGATCGAGATGTACAAAAAGGTGAAGTGACTTTTTTTAGCATTTATTTTGTACTTTAAACCAGAAAATAATGGGCAGCACATTAAACAATTGAGCTCCTCAACTAGTTTTACTTCAGGGCCATAGATATTTTGATTGTAAACTGTGGCCGGCACAACGTTGGCCTTGTTTGCAAGTAAACCTGTATTTAATGCATAGGGGTAGATCTAATTTAAGTAGCTTCTACCAAGTAAATTGTAAAAATGTGCCAAGATTGGGGTCACAGCCTTTGAAATCAACATTAAAAGATATGGGAGGCGTTTTGACCCACCTTTTAAAAATTATTCAGCACATTTGATTTTGCTGTCCCAATTATAGTTAGTTGAATTTTATTATTTGCATTTAGTATCAGAACAAACTTGCAGCCTGTTTTTGTGTCGCGACCCACCAGTGGAGAAGAAACTGATCTAGAAAATGCCTTAGCTGGTCTATTTGGGTTGCATCCCTGAAGAGCAGCGTGCAACTAGCAGTAACCGAATTTATCACTGGATGTGCAAAGAGAAAGTTATTTATTCTGGTGTTCAGAGCTGGAAGAGGAGTCTCCCATCATTAACTGGTCTCTGGAGCTGGGCACGCGTCTGGACAGCCGGCTGTATGCTCTGTGGAACCGAACCGCTGGAGATTGCCTACTGGATTCAGTGTTACAAGCCACGTGGGGAATTTACGACAAAGACTCTGTCCTAAGAAAAAGCCTCAACGACAGCTTACACGACTGCTCTCACTGGTAAGACTGGAAATTAGCAGGTTGGGTTTACATCATGTCATGTTTATTTTTTATTGTCTCTTTTTATTTTAATTTGGGTTAAAGTTTTAGTAATTTTGTTGCATGTTTTTGTCTTTATTAGTTTTTTTTATATGTCTGTATACTTTTTATTAATTTTTATTTTATATAATAAATGTTTTAAGGGTTTTAGTTACCTGAAATAACCCTGGTTCACGTTAACTACCCAAAACACCCTAGTATTGTTTGGCATGGGCAGCACCACAGGGTTTCTGCTGGTTTTATGAAGGTACATTTAAGACCTTATTAAGATCAAGTAAAAGAAATAGACTGAATGGAGCTTAATATGTTGTCTAAATGTAAATGTCTTGTATTAGCAACGCTTCAAAGTTTGAAAATACAACTTACTTTTTCATTCATTTTACAAAAATAAACCATATGGCTTGAAAAGCTGTGCTTCCAACAATTAGAACATGGAAATAACTCACTACACCTTCTGATCACGCTGCAAAAAAAAAGTGATGTTCTTCATAAGTAAAGATACTTAAATCAAGATACATTTACTTGAGAAGCAAAAAGACATCACTTGAATCAGAAATTGATCAAAATAAAGTTTATAATTCAAACAAGAACAAAGAACAAGTTTTCATTCCTCATTGACAGATACTTGTTCTTTATTTAAGCATAAACTCACTTCATTTTGTTCAGTTTCTCAGAAAATAAGACTTCATATGTTTAATTTGCATCTCAAGCAAATGCATCTTAATTTAAGGATGTTTAAATATTTGTATTGAAAAACAAAACAAAAATGAGGAAGATGTTAATTTTTTTGCAGTGCAAGCAGCATTTAATACCAGGCTTTCTGCTCAGATATAAGACCTTTTTTTAGGCCTTAATTAAAGAAAGGGTGAATTAAGACATTTTAAAACCTTTTTAAGACCTGCAAAAACCCTGCACCACTCATGTTTTCTTAAAGGGATACTCCACCCCAAAATGAAAATGTTGTCATTAATCACTTACCCCCATGTCGTTCCAAACCCGTAAAAGCTTTGTTCATCTTCGGAACACAATTTAAGATATTTTGGATGAAAACCGGGAGGCTTGTTACTGTCTGATTGACTGGCAAGTAAATTACACTGTCAAGGTCCAGAAAAGTCTGAAAGACATCGTCAGAATAGTCCATCTGCCATCAGTGGTTCAACCGTAACGTTATGAAGCGACGAGAATACTTTTTGTACGCGATGAAAACAAAAATAATGACTTTATTCAACAATTCGTCTCTCCGCATCACTGTAGTGCCATTTTGGAGAATATCCGCTGAATGCAAGCAGTGTACGCTTCTCTGTGTCAGCTGTGACACAAGGATACGTTTTCTACGTGTATTTACGCTTTGATTTGAACGAAAACAGCGCATCCGTGCAGCGCGGCTGACACAGAATAGCATTCGCAATTTGCGTTCAGTGGTTATTCTCCAAAATGGAGCTACGGTGATGCGGAGAGACGAATTGTTGAATAAAGTCATTATTTTTGTTTTCATCGCGTACAAAAATTATTCTCGTCGCTTCATATCGTTACGGTTGAACCACTGATGGCAGATGGACTATTCTGACGATGTCTTTCAGACTTTTCTGGACCTTGACAGTGTAATTTACTTGCCAGTCAATCAGACAGTCACAAGCCTCCAGGTTTTCATCCAGAATATCTTAAATTGTGTTCCGAAGACGAACAAAGCTTTTACGGGTTTGGAACGACATGGGGGTAAGTGATTAATGACAACATTTTCATTTTGGGGTGGAGTATCCTTTAAGAAAACATGAGTGGTGCAGGGTTTTATTGTTCATTCATTGTTGTAATCCTTGTTTATCTGCAGTTGGGTTTATTAACATTGGTGTAATTGGATTTTATCACGGATATAATGCATGTGTTTTCCAGGTTCTACACTCGCTGGAAAGAGTGGGAGTCCTGGTATTCCCAGAGCTTTGGTTTGCATTTCTCTCTGCGGGAGGAGCAGTGGCAGGAGGACTGGGCATTTATATTATCATTAGCTAGTCAGGTAAGTAACCAGATGAGAAAACATTAATATTTCACCACCTACTGAGATACCTGCAGTTGACTCATACAGAAACACACATGCAGACACACATCCCACCCGAGAGGATGAGGCCTGGACAGATGTCTGAGCAATGAGCACTTTTTATAGCGTTGTTTCCATACTGCTCTATGGAAGATTTTGAGTTTCATTGTGCTTAAAGTCAACACGACATCACAACTGACCATATTTACTTTCAGAATACACATTTGTCTTATTGTGAACGATTCATCAGTGCATGTTTTTCGAAAGGAACTAAATGTTTTTCTTCAAAAGCTTTCATCAAGATGTAACGACTCACTCCAGCAACTCCAGTTTCCCTTTTTTGGCTGCTTTGAATGGATCATTGAATATCATCAATGTGTCAAAATATGACTGTAAAATGGGTTGCATATGCTGTTTCATGTTGAATTATTATTTTTTTCATAATAAAATATTCAGATGAGTTTGGGAAACACAACATTGAGTTTTCCCTAGTAAAAGTTGTTTTAACATTTTATTGTGGTTCTCTTGCTCTCTCTCTCTCTGTCTCTGTATTCTTGTCTCGTCTTCCTGCAGCCGGGTGCGAGTTTAGAGCAGACACACGTGTTTGTCTTGGCACACATCCTTCGGAGGCCTATCATAGTGTACGGTGTGAAATATTACAAGAGCTTCAGAGGAGAGACGCTGGGATATACACGCTTTCAGGGTAAGCTGTGTTTAAAGGCGCTACGCTTGTGTGTAGATATTTAAATTTAATTTGGTTTGCTCGTTTCGCAATGGCTGTTTCTCATATCTAAATGGACAGATTTGCCTATGATCACAGTTTATATAGACAGATAGATATAGATATACTACTGTTCAAAAGTCAGTACGATTTTTTTTAAATATATAATTTATTATTATTTTTTTATAAATGCTCTTCTTTAGAACTTTTTAGTCATCAAAGAATCCTGAAAAAGTTTATCACTGTTTCCACAAAAATATTAAGTGGCAAGTGTTTTCAGCATGATAATAAAAAATGTTTCTTAAAGGGGTCATATGATGCGATTTCAATTTTTCCTTTCTCTTTGGAGTGTTACAAGCTCTTGGTGCATAAAGAAGATCTGTAAAGTTGCAAAGACTAAAGTCTCAAATCCAAAGAGATATTCTTTATAAAAGTTAAGAGTCAACCACGCCTACCTAAAACGGCTCGTTCTAACACGCCCCCACATATCAACGTCACTATGTGGAAATATTAGCATAATGCCGCCCAAATGTGCACGCAAAGAAAGAAGGCGTGGTTTCAGGAACAGCAGTAGTGTTGATGCAGCCATGTCAGAGAGACGGTGTGTGTTTTGGTGCGAAAGCAAAAGCACTTTATTTGGCCTTCCGGAAGCAGATGCAATTAGGAATCATTGGTTAAGATTTATTTACAACAGAACAGCACAACCCAAATGTTCGAATTTGTGCAATGCATTTTATGGACGACAGTTTTTTTAACCTAGAAGAGTACAAGGCTGGCTGTGCACAAAAACTATTTCCCCCCCAAAAAAAGGGTAAATTCCGACTTTGCTATGACAATCTGGCACTTCTGAATCAGCGACTGTAAGTATGTTTT